ATGTCTTTGGGTATCTCAGGTGCAGTATGAGAGCTCTGAAACACGAAAGTGATGGTGGGGACATCTTGCAAAACATCCATTTAATGGAGTCTACAGGTGTTTTGAGTGATATCCCTCTTTTGAATACCCCATGCTGGACTGCACTTGTCCAGAGTGGATTTTCCAGTTTCGGATGGGAGTTCTGGTCAAAGCCTGGGATCAGAAAGGGGTTTTCTACCTTAGGCAAGCTGCAAAATTAATTTCTCCCATCCAATGAGTACATGGATACAGGGGTTAGTTGCAGCACCTTAAAAAGCACATTGTGAAGGACAACACAAGTGGGCTGGTGAGAGAGAAGTGTAACTGGATTGCGATCTTCCAGTAAAACCAGTCAGTCCTTCCTGGAAGTGGGAAGTTAGTTTTATCTGTGACTAATCTGAAGCCAAATGTATATGTGTACATGCATGCAAAGCGGTGTGGTGATGGGTACCCACACCTGGGACGTCAGGGAACCGAGGCTGCATATCTCCGTTTTCGGGTATTTGATGTTGGATCTCCTGCGTGCCAGTTGATTCTATCAGGTTATTGATGCGGGTGGTACGGATGTTCCCTGGCTTCTGCACAATGCATTGAAAAGCTTCATTTTGATGTAGAAGTGAGAACGTTCTTAAATATGAGTTTTGTGGGAAAGGAGCAATGGTTTTCTTCCATGGTTTCGTGACCTGAAGTTATTTCCTTTTAAAGCGGTGGACTTTTCTAACACACCCTTAATTTTAGATATCATAAGGAGTATGAACAGAGCAGGGGGAAAAAGCAAACGCCTTTAGACAAACATCTACGAATTTGCAGTTTGCACACATCTGCACTAAGGAAAAAATGCATATTGGCTGTGGATCCACTAATGAGTTTAGCAGAATATGTCATCGGTCTGAGAGCTGCAGAGTGAGCTCCAGCCCGTGGAGAGCTGCGGGGCAGATCTGGTTCCCAGCACCCAAGTGCTGGGGTCAGGTTTTTTGGCACTGGGTGGGCTTGGTTTGTACATGGGTGTTCTGAGCGTGTATGGAAATTTGTGTGTGTGAGTGAAAGCTGAGCATTGCCATGACGTTGGGTCTTTAGCTGGATGAGACCCTTTTGCAGGTGTAGATGTGAGTAACACCCTGGGATGGAGCATTACTGGGATCTGCATGTCCTGTGCCATCGAGCCACCAGTGCTGAGCCTGGAGGTTACTCTTGTGCTGCCCTGAGCGGTCACGGTGCCTTTGCATCTGCTCACAGGGAGCGTAAACCCAACCCAGCGGCCCTCGGCGTTTGCTTTGCATTGGTGTAACAAGAGTACGCACCGTGCTCATATATTTTTTTTTTTTTCTGGCTTTGTTCTGTGTGCTATAAATAAGCCTGATCAGGAGCAGCAGATAAACTCTCTGTGCTGCTGACAGAAGTGTTGTAAGTGCAAAGGTTGGGGTTTATTTATTTACTCAGGGCCATGGTTGCTGTGCAAAACTGCTTCCTCGGCCAGGCTCTGCCCGGCTGGGCTCCCCGAGGGCTGAGCTTCCTGCTCCCCCCCAGGCAGTGGGTGGTGAAAGGAGAGGGTTTGTAGCTCCCATTCCATTGGAATCCCCGGGGGATTGGTACAGTGGTCCCCCCTGAATATGAAATGGCCCACTGGATGGACCCGAAGAGGTGGAGGGATGGCTGTGTCTTGCTGGTGCAGTCAGTCCCACAGCCTGTGCTGACAAAGCTGCCCCATCTTATGGTGCTTGGCACAAACAGCCTTTTTTAAAGTGGGGAAAAATCAGTGATGGTCTGGAATGGGCTCTCCATGTGCCTCTAGCTACAAGGCATTTAGCCTGACACAGTCTTAGAAGATCAAATCCTGAACTATCAAAAGTAGTAAGTTTTCTCCCATCAGTGGTTTCTCTCTTCAGACCAGGCTGACTATCCCAGTTTTGCACAGACGAGCAGTTCCCACTGGCACTTCTTGGTGTGAGCAAGGATGCTGCAAACTGGCTTTGTGCTGTCCCCATTGCCGCTGGGTCTCACATAAGCTCAGCAGCGTGCTGCCGGGTGGGTTCGCTCACCCGATCTGGGGTGAGCATCCTCCTCCCAGCCTAGCCAGGACGGTCATATCCACATCATTTTTCCTGCAGAACAAGCACCTGCATTGCAAACTGCTACCAGAGCCAGTGTGGACCAGCACAAAGATTGTAACGGGGTGAGGACCCACGCTGCCCGCTCCCGGCATAGACAAAGCTTCATGTGACCTTTGGGGTCTTGGCATCAGCTGGACAGGCTGTGGGTAATTGGTCTCCTGGGCTGGCGGTGTAAGAACTTGGCTCTTGGCATAAGGGAGGTGCATGCTTCACCCTTCTTCTTGGATGAGATGCTCTGTTTGTACGGTGATGTCTCTTTGGAAGGAGGCCCTGTTACTTAGGGTAGGATGTTGTGCTGCCTGGCCTCAAATTCTGCAGGAGCAGAGGGGCGCAGGGAATCCCAGCCCTGGCAGGGGTTTCTCTTTCTGCTGCTTTTCCGTTACTTAATATTTTTGTTGGAGAGGTGAACTGACCTCATCTTGCTGGCTTCTCGGTGTAGAACAGACTTACAGACGTGTAAAGGACAGGCTGGGAGATGAAACTCAGGGACAGGCAGAGGATTTTAGGGCTGGAAGCACTTTGCCAGCTCCCATTAGGTGGCATGGTTGCAGGTATGGGCAGGACTGAGCGCACAGCTGCTGCTCGGGAAAGTACTGACGATGCTCAATCGATTTGGGTGGGAAAAAAAACTGCCTTATGCAGAACAAACGTGTGAGGTGGCTGGTCCCATTCCCACCAACTTTGGGGTACAGTGTGAGGCTTCAGGTCTGAAATGCTGCTCCTTCAATTGGATTGTCAGACACGGGCCCCGCGCAGCATCTTGCAGGGTCACAACAGCGTTTGATTGCTTAATGTTGTTATATGTTACCCACCCTGCTAATAGCACAAAGAGGACTGATCCTTTTAAAGGGAGGAGGCTGAAGTCTGCAGGGGAAAATGCTGCTGGGGGGTCAGGCGTTGCTTCCTGCTGCCTCCCATTGACGTTAGCAAATTGGCTGCCTCTCCCTGACTTCTCGGGGGAGATTTACTGCCAGGTGAGGTCTCTGGTTCACACAAACTCATGGTTTCTGCAAACCATGTGGCTGTGCGTTTCCTCATGTGACTTAACTTGATATGGCTGAGCCAGTGAAATGTAGATTTTGGCTCATGACAGCAGTCATGAGCTGTCTTCTTAGGGGAAGAACCGGTGTTTGGTCTGGTTTTGGATCCCGTGTAGCACGGCTCTGTAAGCCAGAGCTAAACCCTACTGAAACCAGTGGTGCTCTGTGCTGTTCTTGTGGTCCACATATAAAAATGCGTTACAGAGGTTGGCTTTTGGAGTTTTAAAAACAACTACTGGGGCCTCCAGACACTTGGCTGTCGCGGAGAGCCGCCTTTTATTCACTGACGTAACGTAATAGTTGTGTATTCGCGGATGTGCAGTTGCATGGGATACAGAGGAGGCAAAAAGTTCTCATGTGTTACTTTGGGGTTATTTCTAACACTGTTGCAAAATGCCTCCATACCATGTTCCTGCTGCAGGAGGAGATGCCTTCCCCAGCCTGGGCAGCACACAGCGCAATGGCTGCGCCGGGTCTTCTCCTGCCCTGGTTGAGCAGAGGCATGGAGGTGAAAGTACGGAGTTTGTTGTATGTCTGTGTTGGAAAACAGTCCCTTGCATCAGGAGAGGGTCTGAGGCCACTGCTGGGGCCTCGTCAGCCCAGAGCTTATTCCTCGCAGGCATTTCTGGAGCAATCTGTCCCCTGCAGCAGGTGAGCGGTCCCTGTCTAGAAGAGTTGTCATGATCTTTATCCAAGAGCTTCAATCCGTGCCCTAAGCCCTGCCAGCAGAGTGCCTGGAAGATAAGGAGTGATTGAATATTGGGTGGGGAGCTGCTGGAAGGAGCAGGGTGCACAAGGGGTGGTTGCCAGCGCTGGATGGGGGTGGCGGGGGGGACTTTGGCTGTGGCAGGGCACAAGCAGCGACTTCCAGCCGG